GTTGTTATACAGTTAGAAATTATTGTAAGAGACCTTTAGATTTCACAAAACACTTATATAGGCCTTTTGTAGATGTGGTAAAATGTTTAAAATATTCTATCTATGTTTAGGGTGTTTATAGTAGAAATAGTGGTATCACTATTATATTGAAAAAAAAACAAGTGAAGTATTAATATTAAGCAGAATAATAATTAAAAAATGTCTTTTATGTTGATACCTATCTATTTCTTTGTGTTCTATTTTTAATACATTATTATACTATTACAATGTTACACTAGTATACATTCAATTTTATAATACTTTGTATGTTAATAAATTAGTTATATTATATTTAGTGTGTTCGGATAATAAATATGTAATTTTAATTTTGATGACTCGAATAATTTTTATTGACGATTAAAGCTTGATTTTTTAGGGTTAACTACTGATTTTTCATGTGTAGCTGTTATGATTATAAAAAAAAATAGCAAAACACAATTACTCTAATAATATTGAAAAACAGCGAGCACTATTACAATCTCTATTTGAAATGATTTTGACGCAGTTAGTAATTACATGTTAGGGCATAATACTTTCCTGAAGTAAAGTGAGTGAAGCAATTTGAGTTCCTTCTTAATATAATTTCAATTTTTGTCTTTATAATATTAGCATTTATTATTTTTTCCTGGTATTTATTCTTCGGTGTAATATTTTAAATTATCACATGAGTTCGTCAAGAGTCAATTCACTATTGAAAACATAAAGTATAAATGATTAATATTATATTCTTTTATTTTAAATTTGAAATGTAACTATTATCATTTCTGATGAAATTATAGACAAAAATAAAAATTTACCCTGACAAACAATGTTTCTTTGGGTAAAATTGGGTAAGATTTTATTATTATAATTTACGTTGTTCACCTAAAATCCTTAAGTAAAAGTTTTGTCACATGTTTCTGTTTCTACCAAATCTAAATTATCGATTCACATCATGTTTTATTCAAAGAGACGAATGCTATAGTTTTTAAAAGTCTCAAATGAAATATAAAAATTGATTTATAACGGAAGTAAGTAAACATTGTTTTCTTGTACTCAAATAATTGTTCGAAAACGCTTGACTGCATTTATCTAACGGTTCACTTAGGTAGGTAGGTACGAAAAATGCAGTGTTCTGATAATATTTATTTAAAACGATTGAAAATACTATGCGATAAAATGATTTTGTAATTTTGTTTAGGTAAATAATTCGTTGTGTGTAGAATTTTGATTCATTAGAAAAATATTTCCTTCTTTATATTTGTTCGTTTCAGAAAAATTTTACTTTTTGCTAGGTAGGAAATTAATTATATGAGTACAATATAATATATCTATATTGGTTTAAACATAATCGTTATTTAGATTAGTAGGTTGTTAGCTGATACTGAAATATTTAAAAACCTTTTCCAGTTTTATTGAGTTTAAATGTTTAAATTTAGAATGACTTCTGAAAAAAAAAAGAAAATGTATCGTGTAAATCGTGACTATCGCTGATATGCTCATGCACGGGAAACGGGTCACGTTAGACTCGTGTTGCCGTGCATTTTACATACAATTTTAATTTTTTAAATATTGACAAAGGCATTTTATGGTTTGCGTATTAACCCCATCAGTTACTGTCCCGATACATAATATTTTAAGTGTTTACGTATAAGTGTTATTGACAATAAATTGATTCCAATAATTAGACCTGAGATTTCTTGCACTTGCCATTGTATTCTAAAGGACGTTGTGTGATAATGCTCGTTTTGATATAAATTCGTTTCATGTAATTTTGAATGAGGATAAATAATTTTATTTTGTGATAATTTTTGATTTTTAAATCATTTTTTACAATTTTGAAGCATTTTAGGGTTTTTGGGGTTTTAGAATCTACAATTTGAATTTTAAATTGTATTTTAAGATTTTTACATGCTAATAGGATTTGTATCATTAAAACTTGTAATATTGTTGATTAACATAAAGTAATCCAATAATGACACTAATTATCTCGGAAAGTATTAATTTTTCGTAATTTTTTTTTAGAAAGTAACAAGCAATTTTAAAATATAAATTTGCGTTATTTTTGTCACTCTTGTTTTCGGGTGTGAATCACTACCTAGTTTTGATTTTGAATTGTAATCTATGATAAATACCGTTGAAGAATATTCCCCTTTTATGTTTTGGTAGGGAGGGAGTGGTAGAGCACTGTACTCAAAATTATAAATTATACCTTATTACTATTTCCTCCTGAAATTTAAAAATGTATTATCTCGTCAACGGGTTAACGGAAATCAAAAATTTCAACACCAACACGTTTTTTAAGTAATACTCGATCTATATTTATTATTTTTTTTAAAATATTGGTTGCTATTTGAAATCCAAAAGTAGAAAGTGGTTTCTTAAAATAACCTAACGGTAATATAAAATGTTAAAGCAGCTTGTTTCTTACAATATCTTACAATATCTAAACAAATTCCGCAAAAATGAGATAATAAGTTTCTTATGTTATGTTGATCTCTTTGTATAACAAATTATATTAAAGTATTCGAATTTATTATATTATCCAATAACAGTAATGATAATAGTCAGATAATGAGTGGTTCGTTTTGTTATACATTCTATGTATTTTTGAATATAATATTTTATTTTGCTTTTTAATTTTCGTTTTTAAAGTTTTTTTTTAGTGCATTTTGTAGGTGCCTTATTTTATATTTATAATGCATTTTTGGAGTTTTATGAGACATTCACAGCCCTAGTTATGATCAACCTTTTCCAGATGACTTATTATTATACGTTAAAACAACAATAATATATTATATTAAACTGATGCGGGACTATAAAGATCTAAATCCTTATTTAAAGCAAGTCGTAAACTGTAGTCACTATATACATATTTATATCCCAACCTAATAATAAATAAGTTATATTATAGTACATAATATTATAGTTTGCATAGGTTAGTAATCACTAATCAGTAAATACATTGTGTTAATCCAAATATGAAAATGTTATAGGATGTGTTGTAGGTTTTTTGAAATAATATCCAATGTATTTTTATAAAAAGTGTTGCGAAATGCAAAGTAATATTTTAGATTTATTTTGTTTAAAAAAAAAATATTTAGAATAATCTTAGAATAACCTTATTTATTTTTTTAGGCAATTGACATTATAAATTATAAATTATTAATGAATATTTTAATTTTTTATTGTAACAGCTATAATTATTATATTAAGTTCGTGTGGTGTATAATTAATATTAAGTACGCTATTGTTCAAATAAATTTATTCGCATATTTTTGGAGAATACATAATTTTTGTACAAACTGGTGCATATTGGCTAATTTTGAGTGAGTCTTTCTCCGTGTTGATCCTTACCAACAATTTTTAAAAATTACTGACATTTTTCGTACTACTACTCATACATTTTTCGTTTATGTGATTACAATTTTTTTGATTCCATAAAAAAAGTTTAATTTTTTGGTACAAAGTTCATCATAAGTTTTGTTTGAAAGTTAATACTAAGTAGTGGGCTCTATTTAATATTTTCTGTAGAGAGGAGCTAGTAATCTTCTTTATACAAATATAAATACATAATATTTTATTTGGTTCACGCGTACGTGTAAGTAAATATAATTTAAAAAGTCTTCTTAGACGAACATGCACTCTAGCGTCTTTAGCTAGCAGTTTGTTGGCTATAGAGAAACAAGTATGTAATTAAAATACAACTGGCAATATTTAAAGTGTAATTTTAATATGTTGTAAAAACCTAGACAAATTGTTAAATAGTTTTTGTAAAAATTTTCAAAACACGCTGTAACCAATTTAATGTAAAATTTGGCTGCCGGTCTTTTATATGCAAGTATCTACTTATAAAATGCAAGATACATTTAATATTTCTTTCTCAGTGAACAAAAAAAAAAAATACATCCATAGCGAGCATTACTAAGGGGGGTGAAATATTTTGAATGGACATTATTGTTAATGGACATATTTATATTTTATTGCATATTATTTATACTTAGATAATAAAGTAAGTAAAAATAGTCCTTTTGAACGGGTGGGTGGTATACATTTGTTGTTTTGGGTTTAAAATCCTAAACTCAGCTTTGGTAAGTAACCAATTAATTTTATAATGACCTGTATATAGACGATAAATCGTATTATTAACAATAATTCACTCGTTAATAAATTGCTGTCATCAGAAAACAATAAATCGAACTCGACCAAAAGGCATCCTTCTTCATTATCCTTAACCCTTAAAATGGACAGAATGAAATTTAAAACATTCGTATCTCCGAAATCGATTTCTCGCACTTGCAGTATATTAAGACACATCGGACGGGGAAATTTTGGAAGCTAATCAAGTTCGTAACAATGGCATAGCACGAACGACGTCTCCCGTTTATATATCAAACGATTTAAACGTTATAACTACTTATCTGATGGTTTCATTCTCGCTTAAAATTGAAAATTGTTGCTCATTTCAACTCCATATTCATATTGAATTTTTACTTTCTTGTACCTAATTGTTTTAAATTTTGATAAAATTCCATATTAACTTGTACATAGGTAGAGTTTTAAATGATATTTATGATTATTTTCATAAAGTATACTAATGTTATTCACCCAATTTCATGTTATAATCTCTAATCTGTAATATCCATCTAATTTAAAAACATTCTGAAGATTTTCAAGTTATTTATAGTCATTTAAAAATGTCCTCTTTTTTTAGTTTTTATTTGATTTTCTCTCTCTCTTGGTATTCAACCCTTAAGGTTGGTTTTGTAGTTGGACATGCGCTCTCCACTCTTCCCTGTTCCCAGCTAACCTCTTCAGTTCGGCGTAGCTTGATAGTCTAGCCGGCGTAGCTTGATAGTCTAGCATCGGAAATCATTTGTTTGACAAATGAAGTTCTTGGATTGATAGTCTAGCATCGGAAATCATTTGTTTGACAAATGAAGTTCTTGGACGCCCTTGGCCCCATAGTCTAGCATCGGAAATCATTTGTTTGACAGTCTAGCATCGGAAATCATTTGTTTGACAAATGAAGTTCTTGGACGCCCTTGGCCCCTTTTGTCTTCCATTTTCGCTTCTATTATTTTGTAGATTAGCTCATTTTCGTGCCTTAATATGTGCCCAATCATGTTCCATCGTCTTGCTTTGATGGTTTTGAGAATCTCTCTACTTTCATCTATTTCACTGAGTACTTTCATCTATTTCACTGAGTATGCTTTCGTGGGTACGGTGTTCTATCCAACTCACTACGGTGTTCTATCCAACTCGGGTACGGTGTTCTATCCAACTCACTCTTAGCATCCTTCTCCAACACCACATTTCAAAGCTCTCCAACACCACATTTCAAAGCTTTCGAGTGTTCGTTGTTCTGCGTTTATTTTGAATTATTTGATTTTATGTGGATAAAATTATTTTGGCCAATCAGAAATGTTTGACAATATAACATGACGAGGTTTATTATACTTTGTACTTTTTGTCTCTACTGTAGTATGTGTATCTATGTTGACTATATTATAATTGATGTACGCAAATAAAATTAATTATATTTTGATGCGAATATAATTTAAATTATTGGTTTATGTAGGTATCGTAATTTTGAAAGATTCAATATTAAATTTGCGTTGGCGTTACGTATCTAAATATACATTAATATATTGGATTGTACAATAGTTTATAATTCCCATACTTGATTAATAACATAAGGCGTCGATTATAAATTCATAGATCATAAAAGCACAATAAATAATATTAAGACGATTATTGAAATTGGTGCAGAGTATAATATAATATATATTGAATTATTTTTATCCAATTGAACTGTATGTTTATCTGAACTAATCGGAATGTGTGAAGTTTTAAAGTTTTGTAACTTAGATTAGATTTTTTATGGTAAATATTATGTTTGTGGGTAGTCTGGGTGATTCATTTATTATAATCGATTAATATTATTTTGGTAAATTTATTATCCTTCCATACTCCTCTGGTCTAAATTTTAAACTATAATAAGTTATAATTAATAAACGGCTAATCCAATTTTTGGGTTATGCATATCAAAATGTTTAGACTAGTGTTGAAATAAAGTTTAACAAATTCTATGACAGAAAAAATAGATATTAAATATTACTCAAAATCTTCTGAAAATACATAAAATTGAAAATAATAAAAGCATTAAGTTTGTAAATCTTCCTGTTCTTTTTACTTTTTTTTCGGTTTTATTCAATCATTAAAAAAACAACAGATTAAATCAAAATAGGACTTTCTTACTTTAAAGCAATATTAAAAATGCATTGAAACCCACTGTAAATTTATAAGTTTTTCATTTTTCGTTTTTTTTCGATATCTCCTATTATTATGAAAACCACTTGAAAAATTTAAAAACCGATTTATTTTATGAGTAACTAGATCCAAAATTGGACAAAAAAAAGTTTTTCAGACATTTTTTATTAAAGCAATAGGTACGAACAAATTAAAAATAATGAAATCGGTAACGCCACGGCATATACGCATGCAACGCCGTACATATTTGCTGTTTAACCTATAATTGTGCTTCCGGTTTTTTTTTTCAGAAAACCCTTTAAAATATGAAAAAATAACTATCTAATTCAGGTAAAAAAGAAGGCACCAAAAAAAAAGTTAAAAAATAAAAACCACATATAATGGTAAAATTAGTAGATCTCTCGTTACGCTCCGAATGAAATCAGTGTGAACTATAATTTTACTAAATTTACTTTATAGAATATCAATTTGAAGGGATTACGTTAGTTTTAACTGAATAGAATAAAATGTCGACCGAATTTTCTTCGTTTAAATCTAAATTAAAAAGTCTATATAAATGATAATTGGTTTTTTATGTTTTTATATTTTTATAAATAATATTAATTCACAATGTGAAAATTATTTTATTGTAACAATAATAATAATAATAATAATAATAAAGCGGATGGAAAGTTTTTTATTATGTTATATTTTTTTCATCAAAACTTTGGAAAATGTTAACTCTTATCTTTATGAAACTAAATTGTAAGTCAGATTGATAGCTTGATGTATTGTAAATAATTTATGGAAAACTTTTAATAAAACTTGTTATTTGAAAATCAAACGTCAGTAGTGATTAGTGAGTAAAATAATTAAAGGTATTAATGTAACGTTAATTGGTAAATTTTGAGATAACCACAATATTGCCCGGAATACGGATCACTCTGTATATTATGTTAATGCTTTATTTCCATTAACCTATACTAAATGACTAAAGCTGGGGGACACTTAGTTTAAGTTTTCAGAGTACAAGGGTTATTGTCACTGAAGTTTGTTATAGTATCTATACAAATATATTTTTTTAATTATTCAATAAAAGAGATGTCAAAAAAAAGTTTGTAACACGTCTGTGAAGTAGACTTTTACAAATCCAAAATTTGTTTTTAATAGTTCTAATATTTTTCATATAATTAGTAAGAATTTGGGATTGAACAGAAAAAGAACCATGTTGTTCTAGACATTCCAAATTAGTGTCAAAATACTTAAATTTTCATGCATTTCTGTTTAATCTAACAATTTTACCCACAGAGTACCTACCAAATAAAAATTGCGTATAAAACTCGTAAAATTAAAATTTCTATAATTAGCTCAAAAGTGGATAAAGTAGTTATTTATTTATTTTACCACGTCTAGAAAAAGCAATTAGGTTAAAGTTTTCTGTTAAAATTTAGTCTTGATGAATAAATTAAACTAAATTACATTAAAAAAAAAATTGAAAATAATAAACCATTGTTTTCGTAAAATTTCCAGTTATTTCTTCTTTTTTTTCGGTTTTGTTCAATTATTAAATAAAATACAAAGAAAATCAAAAAACATCATTCTTGGTCACCAACTAGATTGAAAGTTCAACAAATAAGATATTTATGGTAGAAAATATAAGTTGGATGTATTCAAATAATGAAATCGGGACGCTACGTTGTCGTAAATATTAATCAAGTTAAATTATTTTACTCTTCGCAAATATTATAAAAACTACTATAGATATCGAGAAACGACTTTATCTGTAAAGATAATTTACTTTATCAATGACAAAATATTATAAGGAACAAAATCGATCTCTTGTTATTTTTAAATTGGAGCAATATTTCTAGTAGAAAACATCGTATTAACATAATAAAAACAATGAAAACGGTAATGTCGTAATTTCCTTTTCTGTAATTTACCTTACAAAAAAGGTGCTATAATATATACTTTGGAACAAGTTTTTTGGTAGAAAAGTTGTTCATAGAAAAAAAAAATAAAAATAAAATATAAAACACACATCATAGTAAAATCAATAGATCTACGCTACGCTCCGAATCTAAAAGAATATAAAATGATAAGGTAGTTTATAATACTAAATAATTTTTTGATTTTCGACGCCGTTTTTTAAATAAAAGCACTTAAGTGGAAAAAATGTTGGAAAACATACAATTTCACGAATTTATTATTTTATAAAAACACGGACGAAGTTTTCTATCAGAAAAAATGATTTAATCAAAAAATCATAAGACGTATTTTTTGATGCCTTTTTGATTTACTTTATAACGGTATCATCGCTAAAATTTTTGAGCTTTTAAAGAATTTTAATTTTTGGGAGTTTTTTTTGTTGTAATTCGGTTATAAATATACGTAGAGACTTAAAACTTGGTAATAATAATTATATTGGAATTACCTAGACGTGGTGACATTTTTGAAATTATCAGAAGACTTTTGTTCTTTTCTTTTTTAATAAGCGTTTTTAATTTAAACGAAAATCGCAAAAAAAAAAAAAATACGGCACTTCAAATTATGTATTACCGAACTGCGTTCGGAATCGTCTTTCGTTAAGCAATGGTTTATCGTTGCTTACATATATAAATGAAATAACCCTATGTATCCTACCTTTCCAACTTTTCACCTATAACAGTGGCTGCTCCCATCCCCAGTATCGACTCTTTTTAAACCTTATTTACATACAATTCTTATCAACAGATATGTGTGAGAGAAGAGCTTTTTGAGAGTTTTGACTCCATGAATTTCCTGGAAATTTAGTTTGGTTTAATTAGTGGTCGGGATAACCCCTTAAACTATATTGATGTACTTGCAGTTTTTCCCACTTTAACTATTGGATATAAGCTATATCTATTAGAAAATAAAACGGTATACTTAGTAGGTTTAATAGGTATAATTTATATAGTTTGATAGGAAATCAATGTGACAAACAACGTTAAGCTAACAATGGGGCAAATGCGGTGAAGAGGTGAGATATGGGTGTTGAATTTAGGATTGGAAGTAGTTTTAATTAACGTTTCGACGTGATTTTTTTTGCCACCGCTTCGGCCGTCATCACCATATTATACTTACTACTATATTATATACATAGGGGCGTTGCCGTCTTTCTGTTTTCCATTTATAGATATATGTGTGTGTTTGACGACCTTAGACTAATGGATAACAATGTGGTTATACTTCGACATTAGGTGTGATATAGCCCTATATAAAGTCTAGGTGGTGTAAAAATTTAAAGGAAATAAATTATAGATCCATTGATACATATTATCATGTAGGATTGTACAGTTTAAGTACTATGTGAAAATATTTAATAATTAGATATTTTTATGCTAATTATTAGTATTTATGTTACATATTTTATCATGAATTATAGATACCTATTCATTTTCACTAATATTTATAATTTTAATTTATGAAACCTATTGATCATTGGTCAATTAAGTTGAATCATAATAATTATTTATATTTATATTCTTGAAAAGTGTTATATTTTATGATTTTATGATCAATTCTTTTTTGACCCCCTCAGGAAATTTCCTGGAATTCACTGTGTCAGTGTCAATGTAAGAATTGTCAGTTTTATAGCCATAGTCGTATTTATTACGCTGGTACTCTGTGCTGTGGACAATTCAACGAATAAAATATTTACCTAATTGAGAAATGTACCAAATTTCAAGAATCTTAAAAAATGGTAACTGTACGATTTGGTCGTTTGGTACACATACATACACAAACACAATTTATTTTTAGAAGATAAGCTAATGATTTAAAATATTTTCTAATGAGTATGAAAAAAAAAAAGCTAGGTATGTCGAGAATAAAATCCTTAGATTTAACAACCACAGTATAAGGGTTCAAAAATCATAGAATTGTAAACGAAGTAGTGATCTTAACGACACGTGTTAATACT